ACGCGCAACTGAGCTTTGCGATAACTCTGAGTTTGCTGCGCGTTCCGGTCTATCGTAAACCCCGGAGGTTACTCTGAGTTTGGTTAGAGAAAGAGAAATAGTGCACAGGAGATGAGGCTCAGCTAAGATGTGTCCGGGATACATTTCGATCGTAGTTTCAGCAGGCTTGATGGTGGTGCGCTTGGTGCGCGTTATTTTAATCTTGAAATTTTGTAAACTCCTGGCCAAAGGGTTATTCGGTGCGCTGATCACGAATATGGTATTTATTTTTCACTTTGAAGTCATATAGCCGGATTACGGTGGGTTTACGCTAGGCAGGAGAAAGTCACGAAATAACTTAAACTGGTGGGGTATTGGTGCTCCGATCAGGAATATGATATTCGCTTGATTTGCGGTGACATCTGGCAAGTTATGGCAGGTTTACGGTGGAGCGGTGGAATTAGCTGAAACTTGATACAGGTTGATCGAGCGCAGATCACGGACGTCTACCTGCTACATACACTGGTTACAGTAAGTGGGATGGAGTCAAGTGTGACTAAAATTCCCCAGTGAGGTTAGGCGCCAATTACAAATTAACAAAACCCTCCTTGCGGCGGTGCCATCTGGCATGGATACAGGCATATGGTAAGGGCCATCATAGAATAAGGTCAAAATTTGGCTGGATGCTTTATTCTATGCGCGAATCCTAATGGTCCATTCTTATCCTTACGGATGCCATCCGCTCTCTCTTTTGTTTGAAGCTCTTGCAAAAGACCCCTTGCGATAAACCAGCACAACACGAAGAAATAAAATGAATGAGGTTTGATATAACTTGGAGCATAGAACGCTGTTTTCAATTCTGCTTTCGGTATCTGCAAAGCGCTTCTGGGAGGGGAGTTTTGATAATTTTCGGGTAAGAATTCATTGAATTGGCCAGGATAAAAACAGGTGTTGAGGTCTTTCCGTTGAAGAAGTAATAACTAACAAGAGTTTACTTCATTGAAGGTAGTAATTATGGCTCCATTTGAGCTCACGAACTAAGGTTCTGATGATATTATTATAGCGGCGCTTCCAAATTTTTGCATTAAAAAATTTCCATAACCTTTTTGCAGATATCGAAAGTGGACTTGGACTTAAAGTTCCATGTTTTATGTACACTACACATTTCGTAGAAACGCCACCTCGATCGAAATCCATCCCTTGTGAGTTTCAAAAATGGAACTTAAAGTTATCTTTGAATTAACGCCTTTGAACTCGGAGTTTCGACCAAATTTCTACCGATCCTGATGTTTTAGTCCTGGTAAGCGTTAACTTGTGCGTATCCTCGAGAATTTTCTCGCAAAAGGATGCAGAATGCTTAGCAAAATCTGACGCAAATTTTCATTCCGAGAAAAAAAAGTGCATCTGCAAGTGCCAGTTGTTCCCTCATTTTCATAAACTCTTTCACATTCTATTCGCATTGTCTATTTTTAGTTGCTTAATACTCCTCGTTTACGTTAGAACTTTTCCAAAAATGTACATATTGGAGGAAAGGTCATGCATGATAGTCACAAGCACTTTCGCTCAGTCTGAAATTAAGTTTCATTTCACAGAAAAGTGCGAATCATAAGTGTCACCAGTAATGGAAACTATGACCATCTTCACATAAGTTTCAAAAAAGCGATACATGTTCCAAAGCGTGTTGACAGTTCGACACCAGTCAAACTTTTTGTCAAATCTTTTAGAGTTGAAAACGAAGAATTTTTCCAAAACTCGTCGAGGTGGATGGAGGATGGTCTAAAGAATAAAAGATTAAAACTTTGTTTTTTTTCTTTCAAAACAATGCAAATGAGACCAAGATTTTTCGAAGTCAGAAAAGCGTGGAAGCTTTTGCAACCCGAATCCTGTAACTCCTTCGGCGAGGCCTGATTTGATAAGGAAGCAAAAATTTTGATGGTCTACGATCAGATACCAGCGCATACGCCTCAAAATTCGTAAATTTTATTTTTATCGGTTTATTTGAAACATTTCGAAGACCTGAAATTAAAAGCGTCTCGGTTGTCGTTCACATTTCGTTGATTCGCTGGCATACTCCTCTCCCCAACAATCGATTGCGGTGAAGGGTTTTGCATGCGCATGAAATTATTCAAGTTATTTTGCAGCCATTAATTTGACGTAAAATCGACTAGTGTTACATTTTCTGGATCATGACTATCGTCATGCTCCTACTCTCATTTTGCGTTACAATCTTTTCGTTTGATAATTATCAAGAAGGGATGTGCGACTTTCGATAAACCTCGGCATGGTCGTATTATCTTCTGTGTCTTCTTGTGAGCCGTCCCCGAGATTGTTGAAAACTTTATTAGGCTAACGTTTCGGCAGATCGCCTTCTTCAGAGCCTGAAATGGGCAATACGATCTGCAATCCATTCGACAACGTCCCTGCAGCAGAGTGAGCAAAGCGCCAAGACTTAGGTTTGATCACTAGCTCAGCTGGTAGCATTTAGCCAAACACTCACCTTTTGGGTTAGCCGAAGAGCTTTTTGACGCGAGAGCGAGACGAATAATGACCGCTTGAGGGACCACTATTTATAGCGAAAAACTAGGTCAGAAGAGCTGACCTAGGTAAGGTGCGAGTTCACGCGTGATCGCCAGGCATTCCTCCTTGCGATTCATTTTTAGATTTTTCGCGTGGATCCAAAAAGCTTCTAAACACTTGCGCGCTGATGTTTGAGATTCGTGCGCCAAGATTTTTACCAAAACTCCGAAATTTGTCCCCGCATGTTTCTGTACTCGGTGAGTGGCCAGAGGGGTGGATGTGCTTGATTTATCTTTGTCGTCTATGTGCTCTTTGATGCGAACACATAGCGGGCGCGCCGTTTCGCCTATGTATTCCTCGCCGTACTCCTCGCAAGAGATCAGATAGATGACCCCGGTAGCCATGCAATCCCCGCCTCTGCCCTGAGGGCAGATAATGCAATGTGGCGTGGTGCAGGTGCGATCGTAGATACGATTGCGAACTAGTAAGCTCTTCAAATTGCTCGGAGGCAATTCTACAATCGTAACAGAACTGCATTATTCATCTCGCTCTCGCGTCAAAAAGCTCTTCGGCTAACCCAAAAGCTGAGTGTTTGGCTAAATGCCAGCTGAGCTAGTGATCAAACCTAAGTCTTGGCGCTTTGCTCACTCTGCTGCAGAGACGTTGTCGAATGGATTGCAGATCGTATTACCCATTTCAGGCTCTGAAAAAGGCGATCTGTCGAAACGTTAGCCTAATAAAGTTTTTAACAATCTCGGGTACGGCTCACAAGAAGACACAGAAGATAAAATTATCAAGAAAATTTTTTCGGAAGGCCCGAAATATGGGATTGGCGCAGCCGCAAGCGAACTTTTGAGCACTGTTATAATTTTGAGAGGTCAGTTAGTAATGGACTTACAGTGGCTTATAAGCTTCTCCTTCGTTGTCCAGTGCTGCAAAATTTTGATGATTTTGATAGCTTCTTTGAGTGCGCGTTCTGTCAATTTAAGCCAGGTTTTTGTTGAAAACTGGGATGTTCAAAGGTTCTCGAGAGTGTAAGGCTTTCTATTTGTCAGTAGTCTATTCGAAGGCTAGGCTTCTTCTTGCCGTGGCAGCGATTCTGTTCCAATTTGCGCACGCAAATCATCATTTTGCAAGGAACAATGTTCAAATGAAGCATGTATTGTAAGGCCTGTTATCTCCACTATATCTCAGTGTTTGTCTTTAAAAGAAGTCGGTTTTAGAAACTACTGGATGATCGTGAAAAAAGTATGACAAATATATTTGGGATAATCTGATGCTAAGAGTCATCGCATTTGGCAGCTGTTCAGATGACTCTGTTGAATACTGTTTCATAAGTTTCTACTTTGGAAATCTGACTGCCTTCAAAAATAAACTTCCGATTCGTAGGAAATAGTTTCTGAACTGCAAAGCTTTGCGGATAACATCACATACCCAAATTGATGAAAGAATAGCCCACGACGACTATCCTTTTTGGAAATACGAAAAAGATTGAAGTTTTCATCTCTGTTAAACCCCGAAAAGGGGAGACGGTCTTTTCGCACGGGCGGTCTCCAGAGTCTCTCCCTGATTTTGACGTGTCTTAACAAGTAGTGCACGCCGCAAACGTTTCCTCCCCCTGTTTTGCTTAGGCAAAAGCCGCCGCAGGGTGTGTCGCGCGCGGCAGTGGTCCTGTGTGGAAAGCATTACGGTCGTGCGAATCGTCCTACACCCCCCAAAAAGGTTTCGGTTTCAATCTAACATATTCTTAGGCAATAAGTGCAGAAGTGTTATAATCAAGGAAGAACAAGTAACTGTATTCAAAACTAGCTGTTTAGAGCACTCGATTGTTCATGGAATCTCGATAACTTCGGATCGTAACTTCAAAATTGCAAACTCTTTGTTCTTCATCATTCCTGTACCCGATATATACATTTTGTACATGTATTGAGTTGCCGTTTCAAAGTTTTCTTGTTTTTCCAAACGGACATTTTTCATTCTCAAACTTCTGAACGCCCATAATCGGCCGCGGAACTGGTGGGGAAACTGAGCCGCGCCCCAGTGCCAATCGATTGGAGCACGTGATCCTTCCCGCACTTGGAGTATCTGGATGGACACATAGCAGTTTTTCATGGTAACTCTCCTCATTGTCTTGTTTTGCGGCAACGATACAGCACAATGAAGTTGATGACTAACTAATCTCGGAATGTGCACATTGTTGTTCTGATCATTTTGTATAGTCAAAAACTTCGACTGTACTGATGAATGTTATACCCTTCAATAGTCTTGTTCACTCTTCAGAGATCATAGAAGCATAATTGCTGCGTTCGTCGCAGCCTCGTATGGCATCTCTTTACGTTGTCTCCGCAGAAGGAACAGTTATACTGTAGCGTTGTAGAACCGTCGCTGTTGCGAGGCTTACATCATGTTTTCAGATAGTTTTTTTTACCATGCTTCTGACCCGTCGTTTTTGAGTTTTGAATGCTTATTATTCTAGCTGCCAGTGCTTCACGACTTTTTCAGAAATGAGAACGAAAGCGCCTTGCCATATCTGCAAGAAAGGACCAATGGTTTTGAATGATCTATATAAACATCGTCATGTACACAGCTCTACTGAAGAGGAAGTAGAACAAGTGAAACTTGCTGTCAAGCGAGCCGTTTATGGAGACGAAATATTCTGCGACATATGTGAAAAGCCATATTTTTCCAATAGAAGTGTAAGGATGCATAAAAAGGTAAGATAATTTGCGTTATCAGAATTTGAGTGGCTGCTGGAACTCGTATGCTTGCATACGTCCCTGGTGCCTAGCTAAGAGCGTGAGCTTTACATACTGAGTATGTCTCCGAATTATTCACGACCGTTTCAGTTCGTGCACGAAAACACCGCGGAGATGACTCATGAAAGAAATATGATCAACTGCCCAGGATGTGCCGCAAACTTTCAGTCAAATTTGGATTATGCCCGGCATTGTGAAGCACATCATAAAAATGAAGATCCTAACCTCGTTGTGGTGTCAAACACTTTCGAATCGTTTGGTTTATTTGAGGTGAGCAATATACAGTCATTCGTAAAGTGAGGTTGCAAGTATGCCAATTTCTAGGAATGGCTAAAGAAGAAAGAGAACGAAACATGTTCCAAAGTCGTCAGATGCTACGTACGAAAGAGCAGTTCCGGAAATACGTATGTTTACCTCTGTCATCATGCACGAGGGAAGGGCGAGGATATCGATCCTGAGGAATTCAAGCAGAGGTACAGGCAACACAAAAGAATCAGGAAGCACTGCCCCTGCTTCGTCAAGGTCGTAAACTCTGTGCCCCAGGCTGAATAGAGAAGATTTCCTTTAGGCTCATTTGAACGGGCTTGGCACGGTGCATGTCACTGCGTGCTTTGGACACTACGGCCACGCAATAAGCATGGCAGCTTTGCCCTTATCAAATGAGGATGAAGGTGTGGTCAAAAATCTGATCGAGGCAGGAGTGCCGGCGCGAACAGTAAGAAAATCTGGGCTTTGATTGGCTTTACATGTTACTTATTTGTTTAGATAGTGTCGAAATTGCGTAGAGAGAACTGGAATCCACGGCAGGACCCCGAAAGGCAAATGCGATTGTGTTATTTGACAGCTACAGACATTAGGTCAGTTTATATAAATGTATCGCCGTTAGTTCTCTAGCTGTTCCATTGTTTTTAGTAACATTGCCGAACGCCATCATTTAATAAAAGGAAAATACACCTGCGACGACAGAACGTCTGTCAAAACCCTTGTGGAAAACAATGATGATATTGCAGCTTCGAAACTCATTGAAACAAACAACCTCAGCGGGGACGGATTTCTACTAGGTGAGTATTAAACAAGTCAGGACCTTAGTGACTTTGAATACCTCTGTTTTGCAGCATTTATCACTAAAAAAGGCAAAGCATATTTGGAAAAATAGAGCAAAAATGGCCTAGTGATTGACGACACGTATAACATCACCAAATACTCTTTTCGTATGGCTACAGTCTTACAGGGGAAAGATACTTAGATGCCGTAGCCATTCATAATGATTTCTATACCAAAAAATGCGCTTTTGAATGCTGGTTCGTAGACTGTCTTTCATATCTGCGAAACGATAATCTAAATGGAGTTATGATCGAGGGTCAAAATCATCAATAAAAAAATTTTCTCTTTCCAAATGCTGAGTATGATCCAGATAGTCTAAATAAATATTACTACGTCTAAAATTTTCTTCAGTAGCATCAAATGGTAGGCTACATCAAATCTGGTGATTTTTACTATACAAAAGTAGGCTAAATTTTCAAGGAAAAAAGTTCATAACTTTCTTCAAGAGATCGTTTCGCAGATTTCGAGCACAGATTCAGAATCTGCATTCGAAGGCGCATTTTTTGGTATGCAAATCATCAGGAATGTCCGCGGCATCCAACTATCCTTCCCTTGTTAGTATGTGACAATGCCGGGAACGTTTTTCCATGCGGACATTTAATTTCGTTTCGGATGAGTTGTGAAGAAATTGAAGAACTCTTCAAATTAATAAAGGTAACTGATGGCAAGGTATACGAATCCCACTACAAATGTTCAGACTTGCATCCCAGACTTTGACAGCGATTTTTTAATGACCGATGATACACTCACGTTTTACAACGCCTTCAAGTCAGTGTTTCCCGAGAGCCGAGCACAGAAAGTCCTATGTGCATTCCACGTTAGTCAAGCATTTCTACGAAAACATAAGGAATTACTATCAGTAAGTCCTCTAGTGCTTGTAAGAATGCCATTTTACTTAGCAACTTTTCCTCATAGTCTCCCGATGTCGCCATCGCGCAACATATGTTCAACGCACTTCTCGGGGAGGTAAATCCTCGAAAATTTGAGGAAAACTTCCACGCTTATATCACATGGCTTACGTCCATAGAGGCTGTAGAAATGACTACCGTAAGTTTCTCCAGCAACAGACTTCTTTTAGTATATCGAAAGAAATTACTCTCAAAGGCTACACGAATGGGCGGTGTGTTATCGCCCTAATGCACCGTTTAAGACTACTAACCATGCCGAATCCTGACATAATAAACTGAAACATATCTTGCTCCGAAGCAAGCAAAACAATAGGCTGGATGTGTCTTCGTGTATACCCTTATCGAATATTCTCAAGATTACAATCTTCAGCTAGTATCTGCCGTGAGTTCCACTGAGTTTTGGCGCATTTTATTGGCGTGATTGACTCTACGGATTTTTCAGGACGTCAGGGGAGGCTCTGATCTCTCAGGAAGACGGAAAACAAATACACGTCGACACAAGGACGTACTAAGCTATTACACACACGCAACGGTAAGACTGCGCCACTTATTGTGGTCGTGGAACTACTGGTTTAGGATGCCATTGAGCAAAAAAATGAATACTGCTGGACCGTACGCGGACCTCGAAGAGGAAGCATATTCAAGTAACCATAGACGATTTTGATTGCAGCTGCGACGATGGCGTGAGTCAACTTTATGTTGCAACTTTCCTTATACAAAAAAAGGTGAAAACCTTTGGAGCTTTAGATGAATTCGCATTGTGAGCGGTGTGGTGTATGTTCTTACACGTCCACTGCAACTGTTACGACGCGTCGCAAGCAGGCGTGTCCTGCATTCATGCCCATGCTGTGAAAACCTTTGGAGGTGGGTCTTCAAAACCGAAGCGCAATGTGTCAGAACAAATTTGGTTTCAGCTCGCTCACAGCGTCTAAGACAGCACTTATCCGCCTTACCAACTGTGAGAGAACCGCTGAGAGAGATTAACAACAACATTGAGAACAATAATGCTGTGGCGACCGAAATTCATTCAAACGTCTTCTACCCGGCACCGGCAGTAGAAGAATGCGATAAAATTAAAGAAGCGCTGCAAGAAGCAGAAGGGGTAAGGAACGGTTGAATTTTGTCAGTTGAGGCTTTCTTCTGCTTTCCTTTATATAAATAGTGTTTTACAGCTAAAAAATCAATTTGGAGAGTTGGCAAAGGCGTACGCAAAATCAAATTGTCTTGATCTGATAAACCAGATGAACGAATTCATGAAGAACGGGCTGGGAGAAATGCCCCAAGAAGCGCTCGAAAACCGTTTCGTGAGGAGGGCAGTGATGCAGACCACCGGGGCTGGTCCCGCGCCGTCTCGTATACAACCGAGTATAAAACTTTAAGTTTTGAAACAGATGACCATTTATTTTATAGCCACATTGTCTTTTTTAGAGGGCGCAATTAAAACTGGAGAAGAAAAAGAAAACTTTTACAACTACATAGAGGAAGACTTTGCATGAACCTTGTTATTTCGCACGTACTCACATTCTAGGATATTTTTGAAGTTGTTGGTGTGTTCAGTATCTGTTCAAAGGACTGGTTCATTTCATTTCATTTTGTCGGGTCTCTAGATTTTTGATATCTGTGTTCGATTCATACCCGGTACGCAGTAAACATGAAGATCTCATTCTGTACTCATTGAACTTTTCCATTAACCCGCGTTGACCTACATATTCACATGTGTGCGTCGACGTAGTGGGCGCATCCTCATTATCATATTCTGCCAAAGTACCGTAAACCGTACCATAAGCTTCACTGCTGTGATATGAGTACCGTTACAGACCAGAATTGTGCTAAATTCATGTGTCACGCCTGTCAGCTCAGCATTCTACTGCTTATCTTCGGATTCGGTGTGGCGAATAGGCCCAGGTGAGCACAAAAGCTCGGGAAATTGCCTTTGAAAACCAGTGATAAGAGGTGGGAGAAAGGACAGATACATGACTCTATGTCACAAGTTACATTGTGTTAGGATGCTGACGGGACAGCCTCTTGAACTAGTGAATGTGCTGAAGCTTTGCAAAAAGTGCGCAGACTGCGAGTCATAACTCGTTCTCAGTGGAAGTTGAAGTCGCAACAATGTGCACATTCCGAGATTAGTTAGTCATCAACTTCATTGTGCTGTATCGTTGCCGCAAAACAAGACAATGAGGAGAGCTACCATGAAAAACTGCTATGTTCCATCCAGATACTCTAAGTGCGGGAAGGATAACGTCTCCAATCGATTGGCACTGGGGCGCGGCTCAGTTTCCCCACCAGTTCCGCGGCCGATTATGGGCGTTCCAAACTTCTCCCTTGGATCAGATAGCCAAGTGTTCGCATGCTCATAGTTTGTCATAAGGAAGACCTACCACCGTAGTCCGCTACATTCGTCTTGCATCGTCATAGCTAGTGGGCAAATTCTAAATCCAAAGGCCGGAGGCAACATCTCAGCCGTGTTGCGATTGTGAGAAAGCTGCGCTAAGCTTTGTAGAAAATCAAGGGGCTCAATCACTGCACACTAGTAACTAACCTACCATAAGCATTCTAAAAGGATTCGCAAAATCTGACTGCCTACAGTGGGCCCAGTATCTAAGCAGACCCATATATCTGAAGAAGGCCTCTTCGAGATTAGTAGATGGTGCCTTTGGATTCAAAATTCGGACACTCTACAGTCAGATATGCTGCCGCGATGCGAACTTCGACAAATTCAGCCGCTGCCGTGATTATTTCTCACAAATAGATTGTACAAAAATCATACTTCGAAATGATTGATTGTTTGATCAAGAGTACATACATATCTACGCTGATTCAGTGCAAAGCACGCCTTCTTTTCTATTACATAATTTCGAAAAGCCACATTTCGGGATTTTCATTTTTCTGGTTCTTCAGGACAGATTCTTTTTGCATTCCAGCCGACATCTGCTACTGAGGAAGACCTCCAGGCGCCGATGTAGCATAAGGCAATTCTGCTGTCATTGCTGTTAGGATATCTACACCAGGCACAACCGAGCTGTCCTGCGCAGAGGCTTGGATCCTAAACAAAACATATACTATCAGAGAGGAAACATATACTATCACGAGGAACCAAAGACCTGCAATTTGTATTAACAGATAATCAACAGCGCAAACGCTGTGAAGACACAATGACGGGGCCAGCGCCGCATAGTGCAGTCACACACCTGCGCGCGAGCGCTACCGTGTGCTGCAGCGTGCAGGGATGCCGCGCAAAGCGGCGTGGTCCTTGATTTAGCCACTCTTCCTGCTTCTTTCTTAGGTTATTCGCTGTCCTGCCTCCAGATTGTTGAGCTTTTCCTGTTTGAAACTCTACTTTAGTACTCTCTGTGATCTATTAAAGTACCACCGCGCAAATAGAAGACAAAATCGCGGTTTGAAATCTAGATGAAGATGTAAAAAATTAATTCATTTGAGAATTTTGAGAACAGCTGATGCTTTCCTCTCTTACATCTAAAGGTGAATATGTGAGGTATAATCATATATCGTACAGGTTAAGAGAACAGTTTGAGTGAACAGCGCATTGGCGCTCTTCACTTAAACCTAGACGATATACGATTATATATGTATGTCCGCAGCTACAAAAACGTCGCAGGCCTTGTTTTTATCATTCCATTATCCCAATGTTGCGCGTACGGTAACGCTAGCGCGTAGATGTGTGAATGCACTACGCGGCGCTGGCCTCGTTGAACGTATTGTAATTTGCCAAGATTTCAAGAATTGGCAAGGATATCACTGAAAGAACCCCTTCAGCTTTGCTTGGAAACAACCATATATTTTTTATATCACGTTGATTGCATTGATTATCTTAAAACTGCTAGCTGCTCCCATCATTCTGAGAAAAACTCTAGAGGAAAGTAGCTGTTTTTCAAAAAACAAAACTTTGACATTTCAAATAACAGGTGAGTACTTTCTATAAGGAGGTCGATCACCTCTCTTACTTGTACAGCTCCAAATTTTATTTACTTCTACGCAAAAATGACCTTTTTAATGCTGAATCCAAATCCATTTAAAGTTGTTTCCAAGCAGAAAACCAATGAGTTTTTCCAGCGCATATCCTTACCAAGTTGTCCTGGAACCTTGCCAAATCATGTCCACAGCGCCCTCACTCTCACTTTTTTTTGGCGGTTCCAAGCGGCAGATCTTTGGTTCCTTCTTCACCGCATCACTTAACTTTACTTAGATTACCCGACGCAGATTAGCTCATGTAAAAGGTTAATCTGAATACCGCTTATTCTCGTGTGTTTGAATATTGCAATGAAACAGCCAGTAGTTATATCATCAGAATTCAATAAATCAATGTTGTACAAACTTACTAAAGATTTATATTGTTTAATTTGTTTTCATAACAAGCACTGTATCTTTCAGTTGCAGTACTTGACAGAACTGCTAAAATTTTTGTATTTAGCATGCCGAAGGTCAGAAAGCGAAGTTTTTGTTACCATACTCTCGCCACCCATTTCCGCCCTTTTAGCACTGTTGCTATAACAATAATTATATCTTAAGGAAAATAATATAAGCGTCAGATCTATGCGAAACTCGACACAGGTATAGTGCTCATGCCAATTCTTTTTTAGGGGTTATGGAGTAAGTGCACTGAAGTCTGCAATTCTTGAGACGTCGCTCTCCATTTTCCAGGTCTACAAAGTTTCATGCAACAAACATCTGTGGATACAGTTTTATCGAAAGGCGCTTGCGGTAACCTATACCATTACCAAGATATACCATTATAACACACCTGCTTCGTTTGAAACACCGTTCGCCATGAAGTTTGGTGCCAGTCAAGACTATTCCATGATGAGAGTGAGATCATCTAACCCATTAAAGATCCTTTTTTTTCCCAAATAAAAAGGCCCCCCGTTTGTTCTTCTGCCCTTTTCCAACATTGACTGTTTCCCTGGCATCCTGTAAGTGACTACTCGCCATAAAAAAGAGCTTGTGGAACAACAGCTCAACCCAACATCCTGAATATTAGGAAAACTTGCCCTCTGTATAATTTCTGTATCTCTTCAATTCACCATGTTAGCAACAAGTTGTCTGAATTTGTTGTAAATAGCAAGTCTATAAGCCTCTAAACGAATTCTCAAAAGGTCTTGTACTCAGTTTCAATGCACTACAGGATTACCTACCTTGCCTCTTCATGGTGCACGCAGTAAGAATTGCAACGGATGCTATGCGTACACACCGAGTAAAACGATCGAGTAAACTTCAATCAGACTAAAATTTACTGCTTAATAAGGCGACAAACAATGACAGCGAAATCGAGATATTCACCCGCTATAAATTCATTAATGATGCCCTTGGACTAAATTGAGAATGAAGTTATGCAATCGAAAAGTGATTCCTCGAGGTTCGCTTCCACCGCTAGGCGAATTTTGCAGCCCTTTAGCGAACGGTGTCGCATAATCAGAACATATTCGAAGACTATCAATGTTAAGTAAAGAAAATAGAGTTATTTGTGTCATTAATCCTCAAACTGTGAAACAAGTGACTTAATGGTATGTGACGCTTATATAACCAAAACGGATAAGGGTTCGATCCTATCCCAGGGCCAACCTCGTACCTTCTGCTCAGATAATCGCCGGAGGCAGGCGGTCCGCAAACTCGCGCTTTTCTGCAGGCGGTCAGTAGAATTTTGGGGCGTGGCCAAACCTTCAGCGGGCGGTACTTCCGCTTTCTGCCAGCGGGCAGCAATACAGAATTTTCTGCGAGCGCTCGTCAAATAATATCTTCCAGCGAGCGCTGGCCAAACATTCAGCAAGCGCTAGGACTCTTTTTAGGTATTTTCGGGCGTACGTCGAGCACAGGTAAGACTCTGTTTGGTAGAGGTGTCACCGTTGGTTTAATTACTCAAGTTTGAGGTACTTTCTCTCAGCGGAAAGTACCTGGGGGTTGCGCGGTCTTCCACAAAGGACCGTGCGGCCCTCAAAAATTTCGCATATTCTCGCGGACTTTCCGCGAGAATATGCAAAAATTTCGAGGGCCGCACGGTCCTTTGTGAAGGAGCGCGCAACCCCCACGTACTTTCCGCTGAGAGAAAGTACCTCAAACTTGAGTAATTAAACCAACGGTGACACCTCTGCCACACAGAGTCTTATCTGTGCTCGACGTATGCCCGAAAATGCGTAAAAAGAGTCCGAGCGCTTGCCGAAAGTTTGGCCAGCGCTCACTGAAAGAAATTATTTGCCGAGCGCTTGCAAAAAATTCTGTATTGCTGCCCGCTGACAGAATATGCGATCGTAAAGGAAGTCCCGCTGAAGGTTTGGCCACGCCCCAAAATTCTGCTGACCGCCTGCAGAAAAGCGCGAGTTTGCGGACCGCCTGCCCCCGGCGATTATCTGAGCGCACGCATTCAGCGGCCTTTTCGGCTGTGAAGTAGAGGGCGTTCGGCGCATGCCCGCAAACGGTATCGAATATACCAGATCCTTTACTTTACCCTTATCCTTGAACTCAAGTTCATACAAATGCTTATACCACACCAGTGGCATTACATAGGCGGCAGCTGTTAGGCAAACCTTGCTTTGCTCATATTATGTACCTTATTACTTGTTGAAAGCGTCTTGCTCTCAGGTAATTACTGCATTCATAACCCGGCAGTGATAGTTTCAGAAATCCACTTGTAAAGAATAGTATATTACAATCTTACTAATTGCAGAATACTCCTGTACATTTGTTTCATCAAGGGGAAGACTCGTGACTTTGACCTAAATCAGCAATATGTACCTTAAAAGCGATAATGTCACATGTTAGCGAAACAGACATCACCTACACGTTATTTACGGACAATGCTGCAAAATGGGTGCTGGAAGTTCCTTGTAGACAATCCAGTGCCATCTGTGCCGTTAGAGGGTTTGGATCTAGCTCAAATTTCAAATATTTGTTCTGAAAAACTCTTTCATCGGGCGAAATTGTCCATAAGATTAAAACCAACCTGTCCTTCACCACAAATTCCAGCTGTCGCTGTCTTCAACGTTTTTGTTAGACCTTCATAATTCTTGAGCATACGACATTTCTCATATTTTCCACCAAAAGTGGGAACCAGAATTGAGAACTGAACTACTACTGAACTCAAAAGTGTGTTGGAAATATCTGACTCACCGTAATGAGCAGGCACCAACGAGGCATCTCTAACAATGAAGTCGTACCTCAAACAGCAAGCGTGCCTTTTAAACCACAGCTAAATCTCATATGATTTCCGATTCAATCCAAAGTTGGCCTTTTCAGAGCCCATTGCCCTCGCATTTTATCCATAAAAAAAGCGATAATTGCAAACTTTGCAAACTATTTGCCAATTTGGCACCAACTTTTTTGCGATTCAATTCAAACATCGTCTAATTCCCTATACTGAAATCAACAAAATTATACACGCTAAAAAAGGGCTCATTGCTAACATCCAAACGAAATTTGCAAAGTTTTTGAACAGTATGGATATTGCAAAGAAAGCACATGCGCGGGGCTCAATTGGCTGTTGCCTACACTTTCAAAAACTCGGGGGCGCACAAAGAAACAGAATTAAAATAACCACATTTCTTCTGGCATTCATCCTCATAATAATGCGCTAGCACACATTTCAGCTTGTTTCAACCTGTTTTCAATCTTGTGAAATTATTTCCACAATACTAGTCTTATCTAGCCAATTGACCTAACACCACAATGTCAGTCTCCTGGAAATTCCTTTTTTTCATCTCTTTACATCTCACAAATTGCCATTGATTGTTGATGGCTATGCATCACACTCGATTCAACATAAAACCGAAGTAAAATCCAAGCCTTTCTGCGGCCCGTTGCATTAGTATCCACGCGACGAGGGGAGCGAACTCCCCCATGATAAAGGTCGCGGAAGCGTTCTCACTCTTCTCCCCTGGGAGACGGCTCTTCTGAAACGTTAGCGTTAGCAGCTCAATTAGTGCGCGGCCTCTGATTGGTTGGAGCTGCCGCGGCGCTTGGGTAGGCGAGAGCTATGCTGTCGTTAGAGACGTCTGAATTTCCCATGAAACTCAAAAATGTTATACGTGGGCGGCCAAGGTAAATTCTTCAGCTTAACGTGCAGACTTCATGGTGTTTTGAAAAGTGGGAAGGGAGAAGAAATCACGAAAGGCCAGTAAAAAAACATGCAAGTTTTCCAACTTTTTGTCTTCAAAATTCAAACATTGTCACTATCGTTATTTATGTGCCTCGCTTGCTTTGGAATGCTCAGAAATATTTGAAAACTTTGATAGATTATAAGAAAGGCAGAGTAATTAGCGCCGCCCCGGCAGAGTAACTAGCGCTAGGACGAAGCGGTTCAGAAGGGCATACACACCTCCCCCCCCCCCCCATAATGGGGACGCCGCTCCCCCCGCCGCAGAGACGTTAATGCATATGGGCCTAGGACTCTTTTATAAATGCGTTAAACCAATCGTATGCAGAGCTTTTCTGCAGAAAAAAAAACTTCTTGCTAGTCTCGCACTGCAGTTTGTGAATCACTGTTGTAGACTTCCAGTACTAAAGCAAGCTTGCACTACATTACAGTTTAAACGGTTTTGTTTTCGAATTAGATATTACAGACCTACTAAAGATTGTCGCAAAGTCACAATTGCTCTTCTTCACCTCATTTTTTTCTGCACTGATGTTTACAAGGCTTATCAAACGCAGTGTCGGCATCAGCATCTCCACTCCCGCGCTGACTCTGCGTCTCTTCCGCGGACATGCCCTGTAATCACATCCAATCAGGGAGATGCGAGTGTCGCAACGGCGGTCGTAAAGGTATCTAAGGTGGGGGGGGGTCGTAAGAGGAGTTAGTTAGGCTGAAATACCCAGGGCATAAAAGGGAATCAAAAAGCAGATAACTAGTTATGTTCTTTACAATAAATCTATAAAAAAGTGGAAATCAGAATAAAGAAGATAAAAGGCTGTAGAAATTCTCAAAAAAACATTTACAAGAGCTCAAAACACTTTTGAAGGATGTATGACTTGATAAAATGCTAAATGTACCGATTTCCCTAAAAATCTTGCTTCTGAAGCCTTCCTGAAGTCTCACACACTCGACAAAAACGAATATCTTTACCAGCTGTGACCATCATGAATTTCTAAATCTTTTTGTAATGTTTTTTACGAGCCCATATGACTTATCTGTACTTAGGAGATGCTCTGCTATATCAGTGCAAAATTTGGTGTTATTTTGTCAACTGTGAATTTTCTTATGATTTTATGTATGGTAGCAAAAAATGAGAAAACGGGGTCGTATCTGTGCCTCATCTAAATTTCTCCGGAGCTATTAAAGCTTGTTAGCTGCAAACTTGCTGTAATACGAGGCCATCTCTCTTTTTTTGTCATAAGAATTTCAGGCTGTTTGATAACTTCTCCGGTGAGATACAAAATTTCAAGCTCAAAAATCCCACTTTTTTGCTTTTCAGGATCGCATCCAAATTTGCGAGAGTCGCATGTAGATTTTTTCGGGCTTCCTGCTCCTCAATGGCTAAAACTTTTTCCATGGATGGTATGGAAAAACATGCACACAAAACATAAAAACATACACTATACTACAAAGCCTGTTTTTATTGCAGCCTCTCAGTCTTTCCCCGCCTTCAGTTACGAGTTTTCAAAATACCGTGCTCATGCACGTTTTTGACATCGTTCCGGATGTCGCTAGAACAGTTTTTTTTTCTCACGAAAATCTGTGCGAAAGGTAGGAAGTGAGCTTTTAGTTGAAAACATATTTTACGCTTTAAACATATCGTTTTTGCTGGTCAGAAGTATGCTTGAAAAGTCAAAAAAAAACTTGCAGAAACCCAAACATTATTGAAGGCGTGCCAGAGATGTTGTACGTACCCCTTGGCTCAGAAATTCTGCTTGATCAGAGAACATGTTCGCGGAAGAGACGCAGAGACCAGCGCGGGAGTGGAGGTGCTGATGCAAGCGACACTGCTTTTGATAAGCCCTGTACATATTTGTTTTTTCACCCTAATTAACTGAACAACCTCGATCCAACATTTCAAACACTTCATATATGGCCTATTGATTTTTTAATGTACCAAAAGAATTGTAGACTGGGCAAAATGTCCTGTACACCAGTTACTAGGAGGCTCTCAATGGCATTCAATCGCTGTAATATTTTTGTATCATCGAAACTCGATCAAATTCATTGGGAAGATTTTCTTCAGAATATGTGCGGTCAAGGGTGCATTTTAAGCTCGCAAATTCTAAAGTAATACTGCAACTTGGAGGGGGGGGGGGAAGCGAGCGAATCAAACAGTGTCGCTGAAAGAATGCCTCAATAAAGAGAGTTCTTGTAAAATAAATTTTTTCAAAGTCCTTGTCTCAAAGTTTCCATGCAGATTAAGGTCTCTATGAAGGCTGATTACTGCTACGTAAAAAATCTACACACTTTCAGGGGCAGGCTAGTTGCAACCCAGTATTTCTTGCATAAACTCAATCACGAAGTTGGAAGCGCCGTCTCTGATAGCTTGGTTCTTTGAGAGGTCAACGAAGAATAGCTTAACCTAATTATCGTGAAGCAAAAACTTCTCTCATTTTTATATTACAAAGCGAGAATTTGGGTTTAAAATATGGTTATTTGAAGATCATATAATTGAATTACACAGAAACTTTCGCATCAACCTAATATACAGAAGCAATCAAGTTAATGGATATATTAGGTGGGTCCGAAAGTTTTGTCAGTTTTTTCAATCTATCGGCAAACGCGCTAGAATGAAGATAAACATACGCTTCAATATGTATTCAATACAGAATTTCTTCCCCTTTCTAGACGCTAAACTCACATTGTGTTTCGTTGCGAGAGTGACGAGATATTTGCTGGAAGTTATAATCACTCGTTTTTGCCAGTTCGACTTTCGCCAATTTTCAAAATTTTTGTATGAGACTTTCGGAGGAGCCCTAATAACCAGCGGATAGGGCAAACCTTTTGCCAACTTGCGCATTTTTTTCTTTTCTTCAGCTGCTTTTTCAGATTTTTGCTAAATAATTTTCTAAAAGTCTTGTGTTTTGGAAAAATCGCATAACCTGTTATTGCGCCAAACACTGCAAAACCTACTGAAATCTGGGATTTCAACACACGATTATTACTACCGCTACTATTACGAAGTAAACCAGCGATTTTCGCTTTAAGTTATGAAGATTTTGAAACATAGTTACGTCAGTGCGCACTCCTGAAATTGAGAAATACTGCGATTTTCCCCACAAATTTCGCCTGTCTCGGGAAAAAAATAAGTGTTAGAAAGAGGAGAAAAATTTGCATCGAATAGTGACTGATGTGTTTAACATTTCATGTTCTACGAGGTCAAAATAGGCTGAATGTAAAATTTGGTCACTTCAAAGAATAAATCGTAGGAATTCTGAAAGACAAGCCGTAGGGCTACAAAAAATTGTTCTTGTGGGCAAAAGGTTTGCACTATCTGCAGGTTATTAGAGCTCCTCCGAAACTCTCATACAAAAATTTTGAAAATTGGGGAAAGTTGGACATGGTAAAAACGAGTGGTTGTAACTTCCGGAAAATATCTCGTCACTCTCGCAACGAAACACAATGGGGGTTTAGCGTCTGGAAAGAGGAAGAAATTCTGCATTGGATACATTTTGAAGCGTTTGTTTATCTTCATTCTAGCGTATTTGCCGATGGATTGAAAAAACTGGCAAAACTTTCGGACCCACCTGATGTAAGTGATTCAACTTTCCATGATTTTTGAAGTGATTTGAATGAGTTTGGAAGAAACACTTACTCCATACTTCACGAAAGAGAGGAAACTTTCTCCATTCACTTATTGCCCTCAAAAGATCCGCAAAATGATGAAAAAAGGTCAAAAATGAGCACGGTAAAGCTCGCCTTGCTGTGAGAGTATGAACTTTAAAGTCTATTTAAAATGGAATTAAGTCTTTTTTTTGCCCCATTCTAAATGGAATTTTGCATGAATCTTCAGCAAACGAGATCTCATGTACGGTTGAACTTCTCATTGCACCGCTTTGCCTTGTGTTGCGATGGGATAAAAAATTGGATAACGTGAGCGAATATGGACTTTCGTGGATATGGTTCTTGTATATAAAATTAGCTCTAAAGACTCGTAGCATAACTTATCTGTTGCTTTACAAAATGCAGAACGTGCAACAATGTCATTGTGTCATTGTGTTAAAAC